AGTGCCTTAGGCACTACGCTACCAGAGCTCCTCAGACGACATATAGCACTGGGCAAATCGGCTGCAAAGGACCTCTTTCAAGTGATGAAGAACAAAGATATCTCCTTGAGGACCAAGGTGCGCCTGATACAATATGTGGTGTTTTCAATTGCCTCATATGCATGTAAGAGCTGGAAAATGAATAAGGAAGACAGAAGACTTGATGCTTTTGAGCTGTGGTGTTGGCAAAGTATGCTGAAAGTACCATGGACTGCTAAAAGAACTAACAGGTTTGTCCTGGAGGAAGTGCAGCCAGAATGCTCCTTGGAAGCAAGAATGGCCAGACTTCGTCTCACCTATTTTGCTCATATTGTAAGAAGGGACCATTCTGTGGAGAAGGATGTCATACTTGGTAAGGTAGAGGGTCAACGAAGGAGGGGAAGGCCCTCAACAAGACGAATTGACATGGTGGCAGTGGTGATGGGCTCAAGTATAGCAGGGATCTTCTGTGTATGCAAGAAGGCACAATAATACTTTTCTGGTCTGGGAAAGGAACCTGTAATGGGGAAGGAGTTTGAATATCTTGGTCAAAGAGGAGGGGCTCATTGAAAATTTCATGTTCTGAGAAAGAGATAAGATTAAATATCTGGAAGGTATTTCTTCTCTGGTGTCATTAGCCCTGGATTAAAGAGAAAGGCTTCTTTATCTGAAAAACAAATGATAAAGACTATTAAGATTGTAGATAAGTTCCAGGAATAAGATAATGTATTTGAGGTTGGTTAAGTGGAGTGCATATGTCAATAATATAATTTTTATAAGGATTATTACTCCTTTTTGGAAATGCATGCAAATATTTTTTCTCTAGATCATTTTTACCATGTTTTTAAGACAATTGACCATTTTCACAAATATGTGAATACTTCAGGAATATTGTTCTTTCTTGGGCCCAGTAGCTGAATATTGCCCTTAAAAGCACACCGTCTCCATTTCATAACCAAATTAATTGTTGCTCAAAGTGTTTTATAGAAATACACATTCGTGTGTATATGAAAGTAATCTTAATGTGACTTGAATTTTTTTTCCCTATACAAATGATTTTTTGGCAAATACTAGAAATAATGGAGTTGTTAGGATATGCTGATGAACTCAAGTAAGCATACTTTGAATTTAAAAATGATTTACTTAGAATATTTTCTCAGTGATAACCATTACAAAGTAAACTGAGTGTTTTAAAAGTCTCAATAAAATGATAACTTTTTCTTCAGTAGCCTTTTCCATTTAAAGAGCTCTGGGAGCTCCGGTGGTCTAGTACCTAAGGCATTTGATTGCTATCCAAAAGACTGGTGGTTCAAACCCAACAGCCGCTCCTTGTAAGGAAGGTTGGGCAATCTACTTCTGTAGAGATACTACCTCGGAAACCCAAGGAGGGTTTGCTGTGAGTTGGACGTGACTCAATGGCAGTGAGTTTACTTTTTTGGTTTGGTGGTGTATAGTGATTAAAGCACTAGGCTGCTAACCCAAAGGTCAGTGGCTCAAACCCACTAGCTGCTCTGTGGTAGAAAGATGAGACAGTCTATTTCTGTAAAAACATAAAAACTTGGAAATCTTGTGGGGGCAGTTCTACTCTGTCTATAGGGTTACTGTGAGTCAGAATGAACTCAATGGCAGTGGGTTTGGTGTTTTTGCTTTTATTCAGTCTTTTAAAGGCTTCAGCAGCTGGCAAGTTGAATCAGCAATTTGAGTTGAATAGCATCAGTACTGAGGCCCAGTAGATATGCTGAAATATCTGTAAGATACTTGCTGATTACAAGATAATAAGAATTGGCGGGGAAAAAAAAATTCTCTGATTGCTTTTTGAACTTAGTCTGGTTCCTTGGCAACTTATTTTAAAATACGGCTGTAATTGATTCCCATTTATGCCCTGAAGGCAGAGTCAGGAAAAGTCTGGGATCCTTAGAGTTGCTGCCCACAGATCCACCTTGCGCAGCCCATGGAATTTTAGAGTTGACAGAGAAAGGTGTGTCTCACATCAATGAACTGAAATTTCCTTAGTATTCCGAAATCTAAGCTTATTTAACCAAATGCAAATAATAAGGAAATAGTAATGTGGAGAAGCTTCAGTTCTTTTTTGTTTTTATGTTTTTTTCCTTTATGATGTCTGATTAACTTCTGATACTTTTTCCTATTGATCCAGACCACCTTTACCCTTTCTGGCAGCCATGGACAAATATTTACCAGGGGGCATGGCTTCCTGGAGAGGCATGTTATGTTTCCATCTATAGCACTGCCTTAGAACAGTTGCTTTTCTGAAGTGATGAGGAAATACGTGTGTTCCATGAAGAAATCCAGGTGGTTTGCAATTCTAGAGGGAGAGAAAAGATGGCTGAAAAGGGGAAAGTGCAGGAATGGTAAAAATCTTTTCAAAGCACTTCTTAATGCGTTCTATTGCCATATGAATGCAAGTGATACCTCTCCAGTGTTATTTCTCCTTAGAAATCATTGCCTTCGATTTAGAATTATTTTTATAGTACTGGGTCAGTGTTTTTATTGCCCTCCTAACCATTTTTTAAAAATTTTTGCATATAAAATAATAATTTATAGTTTTATGTATAGTAATACAGTCCTGTGTCCAAATTTCTGTTTCCCTTATGCAGAGGGTTACTTCTACAGGAGAACAGCAGGTTTGCAGAAGCCCTACATTATTATAAATTGGCGATTGGGAGCAGGCCTACACTGGCATGTAAGTATTATTTGAGTTTTATTGAAATCACTTCCAGTCCTCCTTTTATCCTGAAAATTACCTTTGTTATTTGCAGGCTCATGGAGAAAAAAATATGGCACTCCTATTTCTAAATAGTTGCTGCTTGAACTATCAGCCTCTAATACATCTCTCTCAACTTTATAACTTTGTTGTTGTTGTTGTTGTCATGTGCCGTTGAGTCGGAACTGACTCATAGCGACCCCTCCTTGGGTTTCTGAGGCAGTATCACTATGGAAGTAGATTGCCCTGTCTTCCTTCCGAGGAGTGGCTGGTGGATTTGAACCGCTAGCCTTCTGGTTAGCAGTCAAGTGCCTTAGCCACTATGCTACCAGAGTTCCCTTATAACTTTATTATTTTGATGTCTATTTACCATTTTTTGTAAACCTAAAGATTGAAACAGTTTTTATTTAACTACGTTTTAAGCTAAAAAATATTTTAATATGTGATACCTGTGGTTCTTACTACATTATTGATCCCATAAATACTTGTTCCATAAATATTTATTTCTTGGTTTCCTTTTAAGATCAGAAATAATTTATAGAAACATAACTGAATTAATGATAATTTTATTTTCGCCACAGTGTACATTAGCTTCTAACACTTATATTTCCACTTTTTTCCCTCAGCTGCATATTTAAACACTGGTATTATTCTAATGAACCAAGGAAAGACAGAAGAAGCCCGACGTACATTCTTAAAGTGTTCTGAGATCCCCGATGAAAATCTAAAGGACCCTCATGCACACAAGAGCTCTGTTACCAGCTGTTTGTATAACCTGGGAAAACTCTATCATGAACAGGGACACTATGAGGTGAGGCCAAAGCCTCTTAAGTCTTCCCTTCCTTCTTGTTCCAGTGCTATCCCCAGTGTAGGGACACTACCAACCTTTTAGAAGCTAGTATGTGTGTTTATTAAAAGGGTATTGTGGTCAACTTAGCGTGGAAAAACTTCTGCTAAACGAAATTTAACAGTTTCCTTTACTGTGAAGTTTCTAAGAGCAATTATAATATGTAATATGTATTATGACTCTTCAAGAATGAGATTAACATGCCTCATCTCAAGCTTATGTTCTCCTCCTCACTTTGATTTTATGACCAAGATACAGTTGCCGAACTGTTATGCTATATCCAGTGTTTGATATTTTTAAAACAATATAAATGAAAATAAAAGAACAACGCAACACACTCCTTTGGAGTTGGAACTGACTCACAGTGACTCCTCCTTGGGTTTCCGAGGAGGTATCACTACGGAAATAGACTGCCCAACCTTCTTTCCGAGGAGTGGCTGGTTGTATTTGAACTGCCAGCCTTCTGGGTAGCAGTCAAATGCCTTAGGCACTATGCCACCAGAGATTTCTTTACTATTAAGGAAGTGATTTGATGCATTTCTTATAAATCTGTTTAAAATGATAATGAAATAAAATGTTCAATAAAATGAAATTTAATATTTTTTAATTGGGAGGAGAAGAAAAATGATGAACTTGTACAGGAAATTAGGAGATGACCCAGCCTCATGTCTCTTTATCTCACAAGATGCATGCCTGTATGAGTTCATTTATTCCCTCACGTTTGCTGTCTTTTTCCCTTCTCTTTCTCAAGCACCTACCCCACTACATACTATTTGAAGAGTGCAATAAAAGAATGGTGATAATAACTTTTCAAATAATCATATTTAATAATTTCCTTAGATTTCCAGGAGGTGAAAATGTTAGATTTCTTATTCGGTGTTACATTTCATATGTCATTTTTTTTACTAACCATTCCGGGTATTTTCATTCATGAACTTGAGCTAGTGTGATATCAAAGGACAGCTCAATTATTTTCTGCTAATAAACCATTAAGAAACAGCAGTGGAAGATTCTAGTTTTAGGAGGATGTTACTATCTTATTTCCAGTAAATATCTTTGTACCTTAGTGACAATTTTGTTGTTGTTTTTTAAATTAGGATGCCCTTACTGTATACAAGGAAGCAATTCAGAAAATGCCAAGACAGTTTGCCCCGCAGAGCTTGTACAACATGATGGGTAAGAAAATCATTAATACTTAGTTGATATTTCAGAAACTGTTAAGAAATTAAAACCTGTGCTTGGGTTAAAGAGAAATATAAAAAGTAATATCATTAATCCTCACAAACAAATCATCTTCACAAATGGTACTCACAGTCAAATATTATTTATCAAGGCACCCCTGTTCAATAAAGAGCAAATAAATTAACCTAGTGATCCCAAACATGTTGGCTATGGACTCCTGGTTGTTGCAAGGAACTCACAAATCTATATGTGTACCAAGTATTATCTAGGTACCAGAATTTAAAAAGTAGTATCTTATTGTTATTAGACAATGTCAAGTCAGTTCCAGCTCATAGCGACCCTATGTCCAATAGAATGAAATACTTCCTTGTCCTTGGTCATTCTCACAATCATCCCTCTGGCTGAGCCCATTGTTGCAGCCACTGTTTCAGTCCACCTCCTTGAGGGTCTTTTTCACTGAGTGTCTACTTTATCAAGCATGAAGTCCTCCTCCAGGGACAGGTCCCTCCTGATAACATGTCCAAAGTATATGAGACAAAGTCTTACTGTGCTTGCTTCTAAGGAGTATACTGGCTGTACTTCTTCCAAGACAGAGTTGTTCATTTTTTGGCAGTCCATGGTATTTTCAGTATTCTCTGCCAGGAGCATAATTCAGAAGCATGAATTCTTCTTCATTCTTCACTATTCATTATCCAGCTTTCACATCCATATGAGGCAATTGAAATTACCATGGTTGGATCAGGCACACCTTAGTCCTCAAAGGGACATCTTTGCTTCTTAATGCTTTAAAGAGATCTTTTGCAACAGATTTGCCCAGTGCAATACATTGTTTAATTTCTTGAGTTCTGCTTGATGGATAATGATTATGGATCTAAGTAAAATGAATTGCTTGACAACTTCAGTACTTTTCTGTGTTTATCGTGATAATACTTATTGTTGCAGTTGTGAGAATTTTTGTTTTCTTGTACGTATGTGTAATTTTTCATGTATGTTCAGTATTGAAAAACAATGCATACTTATTTAAGTGAATTTGTCAAATTCCTGCAAAGTTTTTATTAGAGGATTATTGTTTTGGTTACCTAGTGCCACTCTGACAAGAATATGCCACAAATGGGATGGCTGGGAAAAACAGGAGTTTATTCTTACAATTTGGAGGCTTTAAGTCCAAGTTCAAAGTGCCAGGCTCTGGGGCTGTTTGAAAGCCCCTTGATCTTGGGCTTCAGCTCTGCCTCTTGCTCCTGGCCCACTGAAGCTGGGTGCATCTCTTCACTCAGGCAGCTACTGGTTGCCAAAGCTAACAAGCCCAAGGTTGACAAATAAAATGGCACAGTTCTGATGTTGCCAAACCACAAGGCAGACAATTAATTCAAGTGCATTGTAAGTCCCAAGGTCGGCAGAGCATTGCAGGCTGCTGAACAACAATTCAGCTACATGCAGGGTCCAAACTGCCATAAGCTAGAGACCGTTCCCAAAGCTGCTTCTTATATACGGGAAGGAGACCACATACCCAAAGCAGCTGCTCAGCTGCTTGTGGTGGATCCCACCATGGAGTTCATTGCTAGTCTCATTATGAGGAATAACTACCACCACCTGCCCAGCCACTCAACCATGCCCAGCCAAGTTGACACACAAACATAGCCACCACAATTATCAAAAGTAAAAATACTATGATATAGCGATTCATTATTTTTGATGCTAAAAAATGGTGAGACTAACTGACTGAAACTGTATGATTTTCATTAATCAGGCTTTGGATCTCTGGGTTTATTCAAGTTAGTATTATATAGGAAAACGAATACTGTGAAGTCTAAAACTGTGCTACTGTAATAATTCCTTGTTTTACTTTGAATAATTAGCTCAGTAATAATATCAGTAAGTAAGTAGATCAAGGGCATGGATTTTCTAGGTACAAGAGGTCAAGGACTAGCATTTCTAATAAAATATCCACTTATCACATGCGATTCCAACAGTCATCTGTCAGTTTATCATACTGTGGTAGCTTCCTTGTTGCTGTGATGCTGGAAGCTACGTCACTGGTATTTCAGACACAAGTAGGGTCGCCTATAGTGGAAAGGCTTCAGCAGAGCTTCGAGACTAAGACAGACAAGGAAGGACATAGTAGCCAGGTCTACTTCTTGGGGAAAAAAAAAAAAATGGCCACTGAAAACCTTATGAATAGCAACAAAACATTGTCTGATATAGTGTTGGAAGATGTGCCCCTCAGATGAAATGCACTCAAAATATGACAGGGGAAGAGTTGCCTTTTCAAAGCAGAATTGACCTTAACATTATGGATAAAGTAAAGCTTGTGGGACCTTCATTTGCTGATGGGGCATGACTAGAAATGAAAAGAAACAGCTTCAAGCATTCATTAATAATCAGAATGTGGAATGAACAAAGTATGAATCTAGGAACATTGGCAGTTATTAGAAATGAAATGGAATGCTTAAAGATTGATATCCTAGGCCTTAGTTTATTGACATGGACTGGTATTGGCCACTTTGAATTGGACAGTCATATATGGTCTACTATGCCAGAAATGAGAAATTGAAGAGGACTGGTGTTATACAGATCATCAAGAAGATCATTTAAGGATCTATCCTGAAGGACAGTGCTGTCAATGATAGGATAATATCTATATACCTGCAAGGAAGGCCAGTTAACATGAGTATTATTCAGAAGTACACACTAACCACTGACTCACTCAGTGCCATTGAGTCAACTCTGACCATAGTGACTCCTTTTGGGTTTTTGAGGCAGTAAATTTTTGTGGAAGTAGATTGCCCAGTCTTCTTCCCATGGAGTGGCTGGTGGGTTCGAACAGGGAGCTCTGGTGGAGTAGTGCTTATGGCATTTGACTGCTAACCGGAAGGTTAGTGGTTCAAACCCACCAGCCACTCCATGGAAGGAAGACTGGGCAATCTACTTCCATAAAGATTTACTGCCTCAGAAACCCAAAAGCAGTTACTATGAGTTGAAATTGACTCCATGGTAGTGAGTAACCACTAAAGCCAAAGATCAAGAAATTGAAGATTTTTTTTTTTT